AGAGGTTAGACAAAAGAAAACGAGACCAAGAATCTCAGCAAACGTGGTTTGAGAGCTTATTTTATAAATCCCCATGGTTAACTACTCTTGTATCTACCCTTATAGGTCCTTAATACTCTTGTTTATCTTATTGCTAGTTGGACCTTGTATTATAAATAAGCTTGTTTCCTTTGTTAAAGATCGCATCAGTACTTTTCAATTAATAGTTCTAAGACAACAATATCAAAATATGAGAGAGCCTGACTGTAATGATACTGCCTCCAGGGATTCTTGGTTCTATGATTAGAACCTTGTGCTAAAAGAAGTGGGGAATGAAAGGAAAATTTAAAATAATAATAATGTCCCCAAACCCATACCTTTGATCTGTATTGTAAAAACCTATACCTTTGATCAGTATTATAAGAACCTATACCTTTGATCTTGTGTGAATGTTTGTGTTCCAGGAACTAGCTGACCACAAACTGAAGAAACAATTACTGGCAAAAACCATATTTTAACTAACGTCAGCAGCAGGCACCTGACCTAAAATTGAACTTCTCCTCTTCCAAAGAGCCAATGAGCTATCTCTATGCCAAAGAACCCCTAGACCTAGTATAAATTCCCTTGCTTTTTGAGGCTCGGGGTCGACTTCCCTGTCTCACATGTGAGATAAAAGTCGTCCCGAAGCTTCGTCAATAAAAGCCTCTTGTGATTACATCAAGTGGACCTGGTGTGAGTTGCTCGGGGTCGCGGCCGGTCTGGGAAAAGCCCTAGTTTAGGGTCTTTCACTCCCAAGTTAGGTAATAATTACAAAATCATTGCTCCTGCGTGCTGCATAGTATTCCATTGTGTGAATGTACCATAATTTCTCAATCCATTCCATAGTGCTTGGACATTTGGGCTGTTTCCATGTTCTTGCAATGGTGAATAATGCTGCTATGAACATTGGTGTACACATCTCTGTTTGTGCCTCAGTTCTCATTTTCTTGTATATTCCAAGTAGTGGAATAGCTTGGGTCATATGGAATTTCTACCTTCAGCTTTTTGAGGAAGCCCAAACTACCTTCCAGAATGTTTGCAACATTTCACAATCCCACCAACAATGTATCTCACTGTATCCTTTCCAACATCTATTGTTGTTGCCTGTTAAACTTTGCCACTATTACTGGAGTGAAATGGTACTTAATTCTGGTTTTGATTTTTATTATTCTGAGTTGCAGTCAACTTGACAGCACATAATTACCAACATCAAAAGAAAAAAAAAGTCTGTCTTGGAGGAAGTGCAACCAGAGTGCTCCACAGAGGTAACAAATATTACTTACATCCTTTGGGCATGTTGCCAGGAGGAGTCAGTACTTAGAAAAAGGCTTAATGTTGCAAAAGATGGTGTGTTATAGAAAAGTGAAATGCATGGATACATTGTAGCAATGGGGCAAAGCATGTTGTAGATCTTCAGATTGGCACAGGATAGTGACAATTCTAATCTAATCTAATTGTAATTTGTTGTTCATAGGGTCACTGTGAATTGTAGTGGACTGGAAGGCACATAACACACCCACTCTGGGAATTTCACTGTCTTCCTCTCTCAATATCCTGTAATTGTCTGACATTAATATCAAGTGGTTGCTAACCTTTTGTGGAAAGACATTTTTCCTTTACAGATTAATTTCCTGAAAATATGGTCTGTAGAGAAACCAGTTAGAGTTAGATCCTGAAGAATGTGCAGAAAACTGTACTTGTGATCAAAGACTGAACTTCCCATGCTGTTAGGAGAATGATCTACTGGATAGCAGAGTCTGTTAAGAGTAGAAGGAGTTCTCAGGTCTGGTGTCAGAGTATGACAAAATTCCTAGGCATAAAGTTTGAGCACCTGAGTTCCTCCCAGGCTTAGTTCATTAGCTGGGTGCGATCTGGATAGAACACATCCTAAAGGTACATGGAATAAAGGTGAAGAAAAAGAATGCAACAGAGGCAGATAAATAGTTAAAGACAGGGTAAACTTTAAGATATATACAAAAAGCACATTTTATTTAAAACTATAAACCCTCAGGAAAAGATGGTGAGTCTATTTTCCATAGAGAGGTCGGTGAGAGTAGACATCCACATTCTCCTTTGTTTTTTTATTTCTATAGCCTTGTTGTTGTTATGTGCCACTGAGTCGCCTACGACTTAGTGATCCTATGTACAACAGCTCTGAACCCTGCTCTATTCTGAGCCAGTCTCATTGAGTATGACACACCTACCCCCATTACTACCCCCAGTTACTGTGTCAATCCATCTCATTGGGTCTTCCTCTCCTGTACTGTCCCTTCAACCTCTGAGCATGATATCCTTCTCCAAGGACTGGTCCCTCCTGGCCACGTGCCCAAAGTATGTGAGCTTCAAAATCCTAGCCTCTAAGAAGCAGCTTGGTTTCACCCTTTCCAAGACAGATCTGTTTGTTCCCTTGGTGATCCATGGTATGTTCAATACTCTTCTCCAAAGCAATCAATTCTTCTGTCATCCTTAGTCATTGTCTGGCTCTCTGATGCATATCAAGTAATTATTAAGACATCAGGCATATCTTTGTCTCTAGACTGACATCTTTGCTCTTTAGCAAGTTTGGTGGGGTCTTTGACAGCAGATTTTCCCAGTGCAATTTGCCTTTTCATTTCCTGACTGCTGGTGCCATGAGTTGACTGTGCAGTTGAGTAAGATGAAATTGTTAACAATCTCAATGTTTTCTTCATCCATCATGGTCTTTGGCAATTGGCCCAATGATAAGAATCTTTTTTCTTCTTGATGTTGAGCTTCAACCTTGACCTTCTGCATCAAATGCTCCAAGTCCTCCTCAGTTGTGTTAGCAAGGTTTTGGCATCCCATCCCATAACAAAATTTGATGAGTCTTCCACCTAAACTCATTAAAATACTTGTGCTCTCTTCAGAGACAGGATTTTGGTAGAACATTGGTCACTGTTAGAAGGGTCAATCGGTGATTTATTTGTCTGCTACTTGGATTCCATCCTATTCTGCCTCCCCCAGACTCTCAAAGCCTTGTTTTCTTTGTTCCCTCTTACCCTAACTGAATCAAATTAGAGACTTTGGCATTCAGGGTAATCTCCCCATACTATATATAAGTGGTGGCATGCTTCCCAGAATCCTCTGCATGGACTCCATCTTGAGGAACTTATTCAAGTGTTAACAATGGAAAGACTGTGATTTCTGCTCCTTAAGTTCCAAATAAAATAAATTGAATCCCGCTATTTGATTATCCACCTAGCCTCTTCCACACTTCACCCCTTACAAACCTGAAGGGCCTCAGTCACGTATCCTTTTGCTCTGTGTAGTATCAAATGGTTCTGTGGCAGGCCCAATGGCCAAAGTCTCTTCAATAAACACCACCACACACGGAGACGCATATATCTAAACATACACATAAACAGAGAGCAAGAAAGTGAGCGAGAATTTGGGTGTATGTCGTTGTTGAGTAATCTCGAGTCGGAACCAGCTCATAGCTGACCCTCCACAGACAGTAGTAAATCGTCTGGAAGGACATTGCCCATCCTTCGCCTGTGGAGCCGGTGATGGATTAGAACTGTCTGCCTTTGAAATTGCGGCGCAACTTCTTACCACTAGGCCACCAAAAAGCTCTCTTTATGTGTAATTTTAATGGAAGGGTAGCATATTACATGTTGCAAGGAGGGACCAGTCCTTGGAGAGGGGCATGATGCTTGGGAGGGTGGAGGGACAGCGCAAGTGAGGAAGACCCTGGATGAGATTGATTCGGTTACTGGGGTAATGGGGGTAGGTGTGTCAGGATAGAACAGGGTTTAGGGCTGTTGTACACAGGGTCGCAGGCAACTCAATGGCACATAACAACAACAAGAAGGATGTAACCAAATTTAAGTAATATTCTCAGAATCTGTGTCATCTGCTTCCCCAGATTTTACTTGTGAAAGTGGAACATTAACATCTTGCTTTAAAGTACATGGAGCGCTGATGGCCTAGTGTCAAGAAGCTGCCCTGCAATCCTGAAGGCAAGTGGTTTGAATGCACCATCTGCTCTGCCAGAGAAGGACGAACAATCTTCTCCCGAGCAATAAACTGCCACTGAACACCCACGGAGGGTCAGTTATGGGTCGGTTCCGACTCGAAGGTTCACAGGGACATACATACTGTAGATACAAAACTGAGATCGTTCAAAACATAGTACTTCACCTGTCTTTCAACTAAGCATTTAAAAATGTATCAGAATTTAGTCTTACACAAAATCATGAATTTTCCACATAACTGGATAAAATACACTTAACCAACTGTGTCCAAAATGGTTGTTTCAATTTACCTAGTTTGAGAATGACTTTTCTTTCACAGAAAAGGTGTGTTTTTTTTTTTTTTAGTGTTGCAAAAAGCTTTATTGTTTCATTTGGTCCAAGGCTTGGAGGAAGGGTTTCTGCGTGGATAAGATTCTACATCAGGGTGGGATAGAGAAGCTTGCTGCTGTTGGCAGGGGGACGCAGATGTTCCCTCCTGCAAGTCCCCGCAGACTCCTAGTCGTGCTTGAGGGTGAGATGCTCAAAGAGATACTAGCCCAGCCCAGCCTGGGGGCCGCCCAGTCTTCTAATGTTGGTCAGATGGTCACCCATCAAGAACATACAGAAGAGATTTTTAAGAACTCAGAATTTCTTGTCGGTTTACTTAAAAGTCATTCGTGGTAATAATCAGCTCTTTTCCCACTTAATTTTGTTGGGGATCCGACTTAGCAAAATCGAACTTTGAAACTGGTTCCGGCCAGCAAAGAGCGCACAGTCTCAGCACAGGGACTCTGCCCAGGGCTGTCAGGGCAGACCCGGGCCTCTGGCAGCAGGACGTGCGGGTGGCCCGCGTGGCGCACAGTGCTGACGTAATACGCACGCGCGTGGCGCCGCTCCGCCGCCGGCGACGACGCTGCGTCACGGGCTTTTGGGCGCTCGGTTTCTGGAGACGGCCAATTTCTGTGGGCCCCGCGGCGCTCTCCCGCGCACTGGGCGCTAGAATCGGGCACGATGAGGCGCAGTAAAGCTGACGTGGAGCGGTACATCGCGTCAGTGCAGGGCTCTGCCCCGTCTCCCCGAGAAGTAAGTCGCGTAGAAGGTGGCCTTTAGCAGCGGCCCGGCTGGACTCCGCGGCCCGGCGCGGGCGCCATGGCTCCCAATCGGCCGTCGCTGCTCGGCGCGGTACCGTTGAGGCTCCTGGCCGCATCACGCGGTTCCGTGGGCTGTGTGACGCGTGTTTGTGTGTGGGGTGTGCGCCGCGCGGGAGGGGGACACGTGTGTCTGTCGCGGGAACGTAGGACCCCAGGCCGCGCGTGGCCTGTGCCGTTGGCCGTTAACCCCAGCGCTTCCTCTTCCTCCTGGCCTACACCGGACTGTCCACTCCTGTGGGCGTACCCGCCTTGGGCCTGCTCGGCTGCTGTGCGCGGGCTTTCGCGGCGGCCTGGTGTCACGCCCGGCGGGATACTTGTGATCGTCTGGACAGTCACCCACTGCGGCGGAGGCGGCACTCCCCGGCTGGGCAGCTCCTCCGAGGGCTTTACCTTCTGGCTCGTCGCTGTCCTGAGCTCAGCGCAGACAGCACAGGGGCTTCTCTTAAAGGGGGGGGTCCCCCTCCTGTCATTCTCACCCTTAGGGCACTGCTAATACTCTCGGTTTGTCTTGGCAAAGTAAATCTTTTCATTTGTTTTCTTCAGGAATTCTTACAGAATGTTGTTGCTGGGGCTTACACATGTCAGTCTCTCCCCGCAACACGTTCATAGTATCTCTCCTCTTTTAACCTAAACCGTATACGTTGGACGTTAACGGCCGATTGTAGAGGATGTGGTGTGCCCATGCTTGAAAGTCGGTTTCCCTGAGGTTGAATCGCAGCGTTGCTCTGAAGTGGGGCTGGATGTAGGATTGTTCACTTTTCCATGGCCTTGGATCTGACCGCCGGACAGGTGGGAATGTGGAAATGTGTAAGTAAAATGACTCTTTGAAGCTGCACCTGCCATGGATGGCACTCCTGGGGACGAGGTCTCCAGCAGCCTCAACTGTGGGCCCTTGGTTCTTCATTGATCAGTATAATGTATATCATCAACAGCTGTGAGAGAGAACTACCCAGACTGTAGAGTGACTATGGCCAGGTTTGACCTGATGGAGCCAGTTAAAAGTTGGGCCATAGTGAAAGGTTCTGCTTGCTGGACAGTTGAAGGAAGAGCTGACTTGGGACTGTTGTGAGACAAAGCTTGCTGGACCGTTGAGGAAATCGGAGGCTTTTTTGCATTTGCGTTGCTGGACTGAACCTGAATTTTGACTGTATGACATCTTTTGCTTCTCCCTCACTGCTCCAATCTGTTTGCCTAATAAACCGCATCACTATAACTAAAAGATACTGCCAATTTTTGTGGTCCCACGAGTTAGCTGGAGCAGAGTAGAGGGCCATGTCTGACTTTAATAGGTATCAGCTTTATACTAGGAATGTTCTTGATGGGGACAGTTCCCCTTTATGACATTAGTAGAGGTCAGACTCTGCAGACCAAATGTTACCTTTTCTCTTTTTACACTGGGTGAATTAAAATGTTTTCTTATTAATGGAGTTTTGTTAATATGAGTAGAATTAAAATAATCCATGTTAAACATTTAGGGCATTCTTGGTATATTTCAGATGCAATGGAATTTTCAGCCTACTGGACTGCTTCACAGAGTATCTGAAGTTGTAATTTTTTTTAAAAAAAATTTATTGTATTTTTTGTGTGTACCACCTAATCAGATCTGACTGGTACAGGAAGAGATTGTCCCGCCTTCTTCAGCTGAGTGTCTGGTGGATTCGAACCGGGTGCCTCTGGGTTTGCAGTGCATCTTCTTGCCACTAGTCCACCAGAGCTTGCTTGAGGTTGTAATCTTTATGGGAACAGGTTGCTAACCTTTTGTCAGCAGCTGAGTTCTTTAACCACTGTGCCGTGGAGGCTTCTTCCTTTGTACATGTTATGTACTCTATTCCTTAGTTTTTACTCAGCCACCCTGTGTACAACATCAGCTTCATCCTTACAGTTATTGCTGTGTGTAAACCAGTTGTTGGAACTACTGTGTCAGCTCATTTCATTGAGGGTATTCCTCATTTTGCTGATCCGCTTCTGAGGCCTGGATCCTCCTGATGAGTACAAAAAAGGTTTCCTGGCATTGGTGGGGCTGTAAAATTGTGCATCCACTTTGGAAGGCAGTATGACATTTCCTCAAAAAGCTGAACATAGAAATTCCATATGACCCAGCTATTCTACTGCTTGGAATATACCCTGAAAAAATGAAAACTGAGGCACAAACGGAGACTTATACAGCACGGTTCATAGCAGCATTATTCACCATCGCAAGAACAGGGAAGAATCCCAAATGTCCAACCACAATGGAATAGATTGAGAAATTTTGGTACATTCACACAATGGAGTACTACACAGCACGCAGGAGCAATGATTTTATAATACTACCTAACATGGGAATATTATGCTAAGTGAACTAACTCAGGCTAATAAAGACAAATACTGTATAGGACCATTATTGTAGAACGTGTACGAGTATCCCCGCTTAAACATAGGGTCCTATAATTTGATGGGTGGAGGGGAAGGATGAGTAAAAGGAAAGGGGAAAGGGCTGGTGAGAAACACAAAACGTTTATAAACTTTTTATGTAAATCAATATAAAACATTTTTAAAGAAAAAGATTCTTGGCAGGTAATTTTTATTGTTGATATAAAAAAGTTACTCCTTAAAAATTACTCCTTTAAAAGTTACTCCTTTTAAAAATTTTTTGAGCGCAAGGACCTAGGAGACTAATCTTGAAACTAAACCCAGCCCACTGCCATTGAGTTGATTTGCACAATGTAACAAAATAGAATTGCTCCACAATGTTTCCAAGACTAAAGTTTTACACAAGCAAATTGGATAAAGATCTATTGAAGTGATATAAAAATAACATTTTAAAAAGCAAATTCTTGAACTATCATAAAGCAACTGTAACCAAAATCTACTGCTGTAAAGTCTGTTCTAAGTCACGATGACACTACAGTGTAACTCACTATGCCACTGGTGCTATAAGTCTTATTTTATTTACTTAGTGCTCTGGATAACTCTGAGTACTGAGATTTAGAGAAATTAAAGATACTGTTTCTCTTTGAAAGTGGTGGAGTATGTTATATCTTGTGTTATATCTGTATCTCTCCGGTCAGCGGTGGTATCTTTCAATATCTATATTTTTTTTAATTTGAAGATTTTCAAATCAGTTTTTCATACATTCAGGCACATTAACATTAATTACTGTTGATTAATCTCCTTATTGGCCGTCCTGTTACCCAGCTTAATGTTGTTGTATGCTGTTGAGTTAGAACCAACTCAGAGCTAACCCTCCAGCACATTTTCAAAGGCAGTAAATCTCTCAGAAGATTCCCCATCTTTCTTTTGTGGAGCAGCTGGTGGATTAGGACCACCTGCCTTTGGGTCTTTCTTTTGTGGAGCAGCTGGTGGATTAGGACCACCTGCCTTTGGATTGGCATTGTAGCTTGTTACTAGGCCACTAGACCTTCCTTCCAACTTAATGGTTTATTAAGTTTGATTCCCTTTCCATCCTATTAACCTTCCATGATTAATTCTGTATGTAAACCTTTCCTTAGCTTTTTATAATATTGGCCTTATAATGGTATTTTTGTGATGGACATGCCACTCAGCATAATTTGTACTAGATTCATCTATGTTGTACATTGTTTCATCAGTACTAGAGTTGATAATTTTTTTAGCAGCACACCTCCTTATGGACTAGGCCATTGAAGCTCCCCAAGAGACTCAGAGGCCCCTCAATTACTTAGGAAATTCCACAAGTTAACTTTTAAGAACCAAGGGTAAAGACCAAATTATTTTATTTGGAATTTTTTTTCTTTTTTTATTCTAAGACTTCTTTCAGGGGAAGGATGGGCAGTTTCCTTCCACGTGATTGACTGCCACTGAAAACCCACTGGAGGATCAGCTATGGGTCAGTTCTGACTTAATGGTACACAACAACAAGGCTACTTTAAGAGAACTCTAGTTATTCTATCATTTACTTATGTATGTTGACTTTCTTCATTTTTGACATTGAGTGCACCAGGCAGAAATTACATTTATGTCAATACCTGTCATTGTTAATACATTGTTGTTATTGATTGCCTTCAAGTCGATTACGACTCACAGCGACCCTTTGAACAAAAGGCCTGAAGCCTTTCTATAACTATCGCCATTTATCAAAGTTCATAGAGTTTCCAGAGTCACGCTGTTTAGGAAGTGGATGTAAATAATAAGTAATAATTCACTATAGAAAATAAAATACAAGAAGGCCATTAAATATATTGTAATAATTTAAATAAGTAATTTACATTTTCATATACATCTATAAAAAAATAACAGTGGAAAACATTGTGCTTCATAGACTTGTTTCTCCCTCAGTACATTGAACCTTGTCCTTCCTTCCTCCTCTGTTGTAGGCCTCAAAACGAGAACTTTGAAGGCTGTATAAATCATGAATATATAATAATTTTCTGTTTTAGCATTTTAGATTTTTGATTTCTGAAACTAAAGAACCAGGACATAGGTTTGGTTTATTAATTGAAAAAATGCAATTTTTATTTCTGCCTATTTAAAGCCTTGAGTGTAATATAACCAATATATAAATGTCTTTAAAGAGAAAACAATACTTAGACCAGAGAATCTCCACTGTTTTTCAGATTTTGAAGTACTTGCATATTTTTTCTGTAATAGAGGAGATATTTCTAGTGTATTTCCTCTAGAAAAAGTAATTTATATAATATTCATAGAAGTGAGAAAGTGGTACTACATAGTTTTTAAGATTTATTGCTGTAACTTCTGATATCTTCCTGTCTTGATTTTAGACTTTTTAGTGATGGCAGTAATAAACATCGGGTTATGAATTAATACTCATATTTATGTCTTTTAAATTAAAGTTTAGGTATTTCAGTATTAACCTTGCTTGGAAGCAGGAGTGGCTTCCTCTTCCTAACAGGAGTGGCTTCCTCTTCCTAAACAACATGCCTCTGAAAACTGTGAACTTTGATAAATGATGATGGTTATAGAGGGTCTTCAGGCCTTTTATACATAGGGTCTCTATGAGTCGTGCTTGACTCGATGGCAATCAACAACAAAAAGACATATTCTTAGTCCTTTTGAAAGAGAATTCAAAAGCTAAATTACTTTTTTCCTTCTTTTTTTAGAAATCTATGAAAGGATTCTATTTTGCAAAGCTATACTATGAAGCTAAAGAATATGATCTTGCTAAAAAGTAAGTATGGTGTGATAAACGGGATCTCAGAATTCATACTCATTGCTGTGGAGTTGGAGCCAACTTATTGCTTATCCTCCTTGGAGGCTGGAAATCTCTTGTGAAGAATTTGTTCTTTTTATCCTGTAGAGCACTTGGTGAATTAGAAACATTAGAGACTCCCCTGTGGTTATTAGTGCAACTTCTGATAGACTGTACCACAGAGCTCTAACACCCTTTGCTAAGTGCTTTTGGGTTGACTTCTGCTACAGTGACTAAGGATGACAGAAGAAGAATAGATGCCTTTGAGTTGTGGTGCTGGAGAAGAGTCTTAAACATACCATGGACTGCTAAGAAAACAAATGGGTCTGTCTTGGAGAGGATTAAACCAAATCTCTCCTTGGAGACTAGGATTTTGTGGCTCTCTCTCACTTATTTTGGGTACGTGGCCAGGTGAGATCCTTGGAGAAAGACATCATGTTCAGAAGGGTGGATTGACAGCGCAGGAGAGGAAGACCCCAGATGACATGGATTGATACAATAACTGGGGCAATGAGGGTTGGTATGTTGAATGTCGAAATTAGTGAGACTGGCTCAGGACAGGGAAAGGTTCAGAGCTGCTGTACATAGGGTTGCTGTACATCACAGGTGACTCAATGACACATAACAACAATAATATATTATGACAGGTTTGGAAGCAGGAGTGGCATCCACTTCCTAAAGAACATGCATCCAGAAACTCTGTGAACTTTGAAATGTTGATAGTTTCAGGCCTTTTGTTAATGGATTCACTATGAGTCTTGCTCGACTATAAGGCATTCAACAACAACAGCTGCTAATAATCACCCTATGAACCTTGCTCTTTTCTGCATCATCCTCACCATTCCCAGCATGCTTGGGCTATGAGCTCAATATCATAGTCTCTGAAATAAGTAAATAAATCTTGTTATTTAATAGTTATTTGTAAGTGTGTCCTGGAAGTAAGAGTTTTATTATTTTTGCAAGACTGATAATAAAAATGAACCTAGAGTGATTTTCTTTTTTTATTTGTTGTGTGCTGTCGAATCTGATCCGACTGGCACAGGAAGAGATTGCCCCTCCTTCTCCAGTGGAGCATCTGGTGGATTTGAACCATTAGAATGATTATTTTTCAAATGCTTGCTTTTGAATGAGGACATGAAATGATTTTGACTTAGAAGACCTTTTATAAAAATTTTCCTGGGTTACAGTATGAGAACCATTCTTCTATTTTAGATTTTTTTTTTTCTGGTTAGGTATATGGTACTTTAATAACTTGGAAAATAGTTCTTGATAAAAAATTAAACTGGTTACTGGGAAAGAAGATAGCTTTTATATAAAGGTCTTTGACTTTGTAGGTGATATTTTTTAGCTCCATCTTAACCGTAGAACCAAGAAATGTGATCTGGTTTTCTGACTTAGATGACATAAGAACAGAAAATTAGGGAGATAATCAATTAGGTGCACTCTGGAGAAAAATGCTTTTTAGAAAGGCAAACAGTTACCTTCATTGCTAGGCTAGTTGTCTTTGACTCGAGTATGACTCATAGCAACTTTATGAACAGCTCATCTGAAGCGCATCCTATCCTGTGCTATCTTCACACTTCCTGACACACTAGAGCCCATTGTGGCAGTAACTGTGTCAGTCCATCTGGTTGAGGGTCTTCCTCTCGTTTGCCAGCTCTCCTCCCTTCCAAGTATTATGACCCTCTCCCAGGAGTAGCTAGCCCCTCTTAGCAATGTGCTGGAAGTATGTGAGCCAAAGCCTAATCTCATTGCTTACAAAGAGTACTCTGGCTGCACCCTCTCCAAGATAAATTTATTTGTTCTTTTGGCAGTCTGTGGGATGTTCAATGCTCTTCTCCAGCACCACAACGGAAAGGCATCAATTCTTTCATCCCTGTTCATTGTCCAGCTTTCAGATCATAGCAAGTGATTGGAAAAACCATGGCCTGAATCAGACACACTTTAGTCTTCAAACTGACATCATTACTCCTCAATAATTTGGAGAAGTACCTAACTGCAGACTTACATAAATTTAGCAACATTGGGGTTGCTAGCTTTTTGTTACTTAATGATGTGACTTTCTACCCCAAATTTATTGTTAGTCTAATCTTACATGGCAGCTCTATCACTGCTAATCTTACATGGCAGCTCTATCACTGCGCCTAAAGGGTACTTAAATATTAATTGTAATTTTATTTTAAAAAATAAAAATTACCTGCATTTAGTAATGTATTTAGTGATTCCCTCTCTCCTCTCATGCCTTTAGTTTTAGCTGGCAGTACTGTTGAAATTATTTTTAAAAAATACATTTTCCTAATTGTTGCTTAGAAGTTGTTCTTTAGTATCTTTGTTATGATAACATTGAACATTTTCACTATAATTTCTTTCTAATATCTCAGCACAACTCTTTGCCTTACAAAAATGTAACTAGAAATAAAAAGCAATTTATTTGTTCATTTCTTACTAATGATTAACAGTGGAAGAAACATTTGATAAATGTGTAATGGTAAAATGTGTACATTGTAAACTGTGTATACAGTATTACCTATTTTTTTTCTTTTAACTATTTTCTTTTTAATTTTTTTTAATTTATTATATATTTGTGTGTGTGTGTGTGTGTGTGTGTACTGTCAAATCGGATCTAACTGGTACGGGAGGAGATTGCCCCTCTTTCTCCAGCAGAACATCTGGTGGATTCGAACTGCTCTTTTCTTTTTTTTAAATTGAAATTTTAATGAAAGTTTATAGAGGCTTTGGATTTACAGTCATTAATTGTTGCACATTTTCCTCCCTGCGCACCCCTCCCCTAAATTGGTTATTTTCTTTGAAAAGTTAAAAAAAAAATTAAAAACCCCCACCACCACTTTCATTATTATACAATTCCCTCCAAGTCCACTCCCCTATGAAGTTCTCATTCTGGGCTCTTGTCATGAAAATAACACCCCATCATACATTCCTTTCAAACAGTTCTCTCCCCCATCTGTTTCAATGCAGTATATATTATTTAAACGCTTTTTTCTTAGATTTCTTCTAACCCCAATGTTAGTCCTGTTTTATAACTAGCATTATGCAGTGTTTGTCCCTTTGTGACTGAGATGTTTCACTCAGCATATCCTCCAGAGTCACCTATTTTGTATAATATTTCAAGAGTTCCTTGTTTTTTCAATGTAGTATTACATTGTGTGAATATATCAGAGCTGCTCTATCCATTCATTTGTTGATAGGCACTTGGGTTGTTTCCAGCCCTTTGCTGTTGTGAACAAAGCCACAATGAACGTGGGTGTGCATATATTTTCTTGGGTGACAGTTATGGTTTCTTTAGAGTATATTCTCCAGTAGTGGAATTGCTGGGTCAAATGATATCTCCATTTCCAACTTTTTGAGAAAGCACCACACTGCCTTCCATAGTGGTTGTACCATTTTACAGTCCCACCAACAGTGAATAAGGGTTTCAGTTTCTCCGCAACCTCGCCAACATTTTTCGTTTGCTATTCTGTCACACTTTGCTAATCTTACTATCTTACTGGGGTGAGATGATATCTCATAGTTGTTTTCCTTTAACTATTTTTGAGTAAGTCAGGGTGCAGATCTGTTGACAGGGTCACCATGAATTGTTGGCTTGATAGCACCTAACAACATCATATTCAGTATGTAAAGAAAGGTAACTAATGATTAGAGTAAAGCAATAATATCAGTTAGTTTAGTGGTTTAGTTTACGTTCAGTTAGCACATAAACACAGTTCTAAATATAAAATTATTTTTTTAACAGATATATATCTACATATATTAATGTGCAGGAGAGGGATCCCAAGGCTCACAGATTTCTAGGTCTTCTATATGAAGTGGAGGAAAACATTGACAAAGCTGTTGAATGTTATAAGGTAGGATAACAATATTTTCATATCTAAAAACAAATATTCAAGTAATTTTTCTTATATGGATATCATGAAAACCTGATCGTCACACTGTTTAGTAAGTAACACTATTTGAAACCGATTCCTTGTCTAGCCTAAAATACACTGTAGTTTATCGTTGTTATATACTGAACCATTGAGTCGGAACCAGCCTATAGCTGACTCTTTGATGGGTGTTCAGAGGCAGTTAATTGCATGAGAGAGATTGCCCTTCTCCGCGAAGCAGCTTGTATATTCAAAATTAAGCAGCTTAAAAACTCAAGTCATTGCTATTGTGTTGGAACCAATCCATATATGATGCATCAGCAGGTTTTTGAAGGTTATATACCGGGAGATCTTTTTCACTTGATGTGGAACAACTGCTGGTAGATTCAGATGCTTAGAGAGGCACAGCCTTTGTGTTAACAGCACAACTCTCATGAAGAATCTAGTAGTAGTAGTAGTAGTAGTAGGACTTAATAATAGATGAGTTTGATACTCCATGAATTTTAAGTGTAACATGGTTAAAAATGCTGTCTTTATGTTTTCTAAGTGTGCTTTTTGGCATTCATTTAATAAACATAGTCTTTATTTGATTGCTCTCCAGAAAATTCCAGGTTACTTAAATATTATAGCATTGAAATAATTTCACCTAATAGAGTTTTTATTAGGTACAATGATAATTTTTAAAACCTAAGGGCATATACTTTAAGACTCTTAATTTTTCCTTTTCTTATATTAGCGTTCAGTGGAATTAAACCCAACACAAAAAGATCTTATCTTGAAGATTGCAGAATTGCTGTGTAAACATGATGTTAATGATGGAAGAGCAAAATACTGGGTTGAAAGAGCAGCCAAACTTTTCCCAGGAAGTCCTGCTATTTATAAACTGAAGGTAAAAAACTAACAACAATATGTATTATAAGAGCAGTTGGAGAAAATGAAATTAAACTAATTTTAATATTTGGTATTTAAATTTCATCTTAGTGATAAACTTGAAAATAATTTATACATGTTTATTTTAAATTTTTTGTTAAAACTAAAAAAAAAATCTTTCTTAGTATGGACTGGCTACTAGACAATGAGCTCTCCAAATGGTATTGTAAGTGGTGATTTTAAACTCTTTAACAACCAAATAATCTCTCATTTTTAGCACCTTGGTTTGGAAATTTGGGGTAGTGGTTTCATGGGGCTGCATAGTTGACATGTTTACTGCTTATGTTCTACCTCCTAGCTCATTTTCTAATGCCAGGTTCTTATAAGCTTGCAAATGGCCATTTCAGGCATAATAATTTGTCTGTGTTTCATAAAAGAGGAAGATGACAACTCAGGAGTAGGAGAATATGCAATATATGACTAATTACCATCTTATCTCTGAGACCAAAAGAACTAAGTGGTGCTGGCTTACCATTATATTACATTCTAATCAAAGATCATGAAGAAGAATCCTGATCCGAAGAGGAAAGTATAGAACAGATTTGATTCTCATGGAGATGAGATTCTTATTTGGAGCCATGAAGGCTGAATTGATACCTGAAACTATTGCTTTAAGATAATTTTTAAACCTTAAACAACTCCCTGAAATCTTAAATCCAAATAGTAGGTTAGCTTAACTGGTAAAGAATGTCTGCCTTGATCATTGCGTTCTTTCAAGAATTATATCTATAGATAAAATTGACAGTTGCTACTTGAAAAGATTAGGTACTTTAGGTACTCACTAAGTTTATGTTGATAGGATAGGGAACAACTAGAGAAGCTTATGAGATGAATATGGTAAATTACAGCTGCACTCTTTCCACCTTAGGCCTTTGAGGCTTAATTTATGGTCTGGAAGCAACTCTTGAAAAGTATGTAGTATGGTATGTAGATGATAATTTTAGGTAGCAACTCTGTTGGACTAGGCACCACTATAGCCATTATATGATTAAAATCGCACAAGTGTTTCTAAATTGTGGATTTTGTTTTAATAGGAGCAGCTTTTAGATTGTAAAGGTGAAGATGGATGGAATAAACTTTTTGACTTGATTCAGTCGGAACTTCATGCAAGACCTGATGATGTCCATGTGAATATCCGACTAGTAGAACTGTATCGGTCAAATAAAAGATTGAAAGATGCTGTGGACCATTGCCATGAAGCAGAGAAAAGCATAGCTTTGCGTTCAAGTTTAGAATGGAATTTGTGTGTTGTGCAAACCTTAAAGGTAAATAAAAGCTGTTGGATTTACATTTTTATGTAGACTGTTACCATACATTATTTGGTACTTAAAATTTCTGTCATTTATGCAGCACAGTTATGAAATGAAATTTTGTGAAGATAATTTCAGTTTGTAGAGAGCACATTTTAAATACAAATAAGACAACTATAGACATATTTTTGGTTTTTTTATTTATGAAACTTAGTAAAAACCTAAATGGTTTTAACATATAGGAAATCAGCAAATTGTAGACAAAAAACAATAATGTTTTAGGATTTGCTAAAGCCTTTTAACTTACTGGTTCCCCCCCCCCCCTTTAAAATAGGACTATTTGGAATCTTTACAGTGTTTGGAGTCTGATAAAAGTAACTGGCGAACAACCAATAGAGACTTACTTCTTGCTTATGCTAACCTTACATTTCTTACACTCTCCACTAGAGATGTGCAGGAATGTAGAGAACTATTGGAAAGGTATGTTGACCTACTGACGTTAAGGAAAGTACTTTTGGTAAATTACAGATTTCTTTGTCTAGTAATTTGTTCAGTTTCAGTTCATGCATCTAAATGCCTTTATTGTATCATTTTTTATATTGTGTTTGGGAGGTATAGTTAATTTGGTGACCTACTTGCGAGAAATTGTGTGTGTGTGTGTGTGTGTGTGTGTGTGTGTGTGTGTCTGTGTATGAATAGTTACCACTGTTGATATGGCAAATATTTGTTTTATAATTTTATTTGAAAGTGATATGTTTAATTTGAGAAATACCAACTCTGAATTAAATAATGAAGCTTATATGATCAAGACAGAAGATAAAGATGATAGAAGAAAAATTGCTGTTGAGCTGTGATTTTGGACAAGAGTACAGAATATTCCATGGACTACCAAAAGAACAATAAGTCTTGAAGAAAGTGTAGCCAGAATGTTTCTTGGAGGCAAAGATGATAAAGCTTTGTGTCACATACTTAAGACATGTTGCTAGGAGAGGCTGTTAGTTGGAGAAGGGCATCATGCTTGGAAAGGTGGAGGTCTGATGAAAGAGAGGTAGACCCTCAGCCAAATGAATTGATACTGTGACTTCTGCTGTGGGCTCAAATGTGTCAGGAAATGGGAATATGGCAGAGGATTGGACAGGGTTCAGGTCTGCTGTTCATAGACTCGCTATGGATTGTATTCAACTTGATGGCACTTAATAATAGCAACAACAAATGATCAAGAAGGAATTAAAAAATATTTTAGTTTACTATGTTTATTTCAGATTTAGTATTAAGCTTTAATCTGAAGTTGGTAATTCTTTTTTTCTGTGCATGCCTTTTTTGTTTATATATTGTTTTTGTTAGGTGTTATTGAGTCAAAGGTGACTTGAAGTGAGTTTTTGAGTAACAAATCTGAATTTTTCCCTATCCTGCACTATCCTCACAATTTCTAATGTATTAATGTACTCACAATTTCTAATGTATTAATGTACGTGTACAAAACACACTTAGGCATACGTGAATGTGAACACAGGCACATTCCCAAGTAAAAAAGAGAAAATATTGTTATAGTTGTTGTGTATATCTTGTTGAGCATTGTCTTCTTTTTCTCTAACCCTGTTTTTCCCAGCATGATATCCTTTTCAAGGACTCCTGACAACATGCTCAAAGTATGTGAGATGAAGTTTCACCATTCTTGCCTCTGTAGAACATTCTGGTTGCACTTCCTCTTGTTTGTTCTTTTGACAGTTCATGGAGTATTCATTACTATTCTCCAACACCACAATCAAAAGCAAAGACTACATATAATTGGTTTGAAATAAATCATAATTCTAAAAGTTAAGCTTGAAATGTAGATAATATGAAGAATAAAAATAAACACTAAATCATGATTTGTAAAATAGAGATTAAAGTTTATTAGCATGAATATAGTAGTTTGAGCTTGAAGTAACTGCTTTTTTTAAAATTCTGAGTTAAATAATGAAATCTTATTTACAATTCTGTAACTGTGGACTCTTAATATTACAGTTTTGATAATGCTCTTCAGTCAGTGAAATCATCAGTGGGTGGAAATGATGAACTCTCAGCTACTTTCTTAGAAATGAAAGGTCATTTCTACATGCACTGTGGTTCTCTACTTTTGAAGATGGGTCAGCATAGTGAAATACAATGGAGAGCTCTCTCTGAGCTGGCTGCTCTATGCTATCTCATAGCGTTTCAGGTAAGCCTTTCCCATTTTGGGTGTATTAACATCTTATTCAGACATATTTCTTGTGTAGATCGGCCCTGTTAATGTAATCAAAACACGTCCAAAAATCTATAGACCTATAGAGTTAAAATCCTGAACTTGACAGGATGAAAAAGAGTTAAGATTTATACAGTACTACTGAGGGTGGTGAAAAGGTACTTTGATGCATTGTTGGTGGTAGCCTGTGTTTTTGGGACTTACTTGAAAATTAGATTGAAGAGCTTTGATCTTTTAAACTTCCATTTCTGGGAATGTATTATAAATTAATTTCAAATATGGATAAAATACAATTTTTGCATATGCTTAATTACACAAAAAACATAAGTACATTTTTGGGATGTGATTATGAAAACTATGATAGAAGAATAATTATCACATTTTAACATGTTAATTTATTAGGAAATATATTTTCCAATGTGCTTGTGACAGTCGTAATGTTTATGACATATAATGTATATTTATGTATAATATAATGTATGTGTGTTTATATGTGTAGTTACCACAAAAATTTTATATTGTTATGTGCCAGTGACTTGAAACTGATGCACAGCTGACCCTCCAGTGGGTTTTCAGAAACAGTAAATTGTAAGGGAGGAGGCTACAACTACACATCTTTTTCATTTGCATACACACAATTATCTGCACCAGTAAGATGCAGCCATTATACGTTAGGTGTCGTCATAAATTTTTAAAACTTTAGTCACTAACCTAAGTAGGATATAGAGCATTGTCTTTGGAAATGATATTATGCTTTTTAACCTTCATACTTCCTCAGATACTGAGGCCCTAACTAGTGACTCCTTCCCTCTGCGTGTTTGGTTATTATTAACAGGTTAACATAACTTATGTAACTTTTACATAGCTCCTGTGTTTTTATGCAAACTAAACTGTTTTCTGGTTTTGATTAACTTCTGTTGTGTTTGGTCAAGTTGGAACCATCCCATCGCTGACCCTACAGAGGGTCTTCAGAGGCAGTAAATTGCATGGGAGAAGCTTGCCCATCTTCCTACAGAAGAGTTGGTGAATTCAAACCACATGCCTTTGGGATTGCAGTGCAACTTCTTGCCACCAGAGCTCATGTGTGATTTATGGCCTCTGAAAACCTACTGGAGGGTCAGCTTTGGGTTGGTTAAGATGTGATGGTACACAGGAACAACAACAGAGAGGTGAGGTTGATTAATTTTATTCTTTCTAAAAACAGCCATGTAATAGAAAGGATTGTCTTACTTTTAGAAAGAGTATTGCTGGCTTAAGAATTTTACTTCTAATATCATCAGGTTCCAAGACCAAAGATTAAACTAATGAAAGGAGTAGCTGGGCAAAATTTACTGGAAATTATGGCCTATGATCGTCTGAGCCAATCAGGTAATAAAATGTTTAATTCATTTAACTTGCTGGGTCCCATTTTAAGATTTATACTTTCGTCTGTACAATAGTTAAATTATGATAACAATTTCTTTTTGTAACACTATTAAGTACTTTAGAATCAGAACTGACATCTAGTTGACCCTCTAGTCGGTTTTTAGAGGCAATAAATATCACTTGAAGAGATTGCCCATCTTTCTCCTGCAGAGCAATTATTGGATTTGAACCGCGAGCTTTTTTGTTGGCAGTGCAACTCCACTCAGCCACCAGAGCTCCTTTCGTAACTCTAGATAAAAGCAATAGATATGGAAAGAAATGGAATTTATTAAAAGGAACAAATATTTGATACTGCTTGTTTCTTGACGAAGATAATTCTAACTCTTTATTTATATAGCTGTTAAAGCCTTCATCTTGGATATATCAAAGCTTGTCCGGAACATAGTATAAATAATGATTTGCCAATGATTTAATATCAGCTGCCTATGAAAGAAAGTTATGGGGTGACACGATGAAAAAGATACTTATTCCTTGAGGAACTGATAATAAAATGAGGAGTAAAAAAAGATACCTACCCACATTTTATGTTGCTTTTGGAATTCATAGATTTATCCCCAGTTTTTCTGTTTGGATGCTAAAAGTCCGTTATGTATTCTTAATTTTTACTGGCACACAGACTTCAAGAAACTCATTTAGCTAGTGAATCACGTAATAAACTGAAGACGTATAATAATACCTTTTGTAAAGATCAGTTTTATATAAAGTTGAATTAATATTATGGAGAACAAGAAATACATTAAAAGTTAGATATACCTTCATTCATAAAAACTTTGGTGTGGTTTTTTTTTTTAAAAAACAAACCTTTGGTTTTTCATTTAAGTCAAAATTTCTATAAACCTCTGTATAGTAAGGGTATTTATCAAAAGATTTAAAGCATTGCTCATATAACCCTCAGCCTTTTAGTCCTTGATGTGATTTCTAGATTTCCCCCATCTCTACATTCTTAAGAGTGTTTTGTACTGTTAAATCTTCTTAGTAAAGACTATTGTTTGGTTTTGGCTTTCGGTCATTCTTACTGTTGAGATACTGTGGCCCAGGAGTACCTAAACCTCACTGACCAGCAGAACTACCTCAAAGAACATTTTTTAAAAATTTATTTTATTTTTACTATTTGTGTGTGTGTGTACCGTCAAATCAGATTTGACTAGTACAGGAGGTGATGGTTCCTCCTTCTCCAGCAAAGCATCTCGTGGATTTGAACCGCACACCTCTGGGATTGCAGTGCAGCTTCTTGCCACTAGGCCACCAGAGCTCCCAAAGAACATATTTTTAAAAATTATTTTGATGTGACAACTCACATACCTGTTTACCTATCTAAAATATAAAATTCAAATATTTAGTATATTCAAAAAATTGTACAAGTGTCACAATCCATTTTATACACTTTCATCACTCCATAAAGAGACTCTACACTAAGTAGCCAGTCACTCTTTTACTTCCCTTTCACTCTCAGTCCTTACACAAACACTGATGTAGTTTCTTCCCTATTGTGGATATATCATACTAGCGAGGAAGTCCTTAAGTCACAGTGGTTAAACTACTCATTTGCTTACTGTGAGGTATTTCATTAAAGCTGTGTTTATAAAATAAATTCTTCACCCTCTCCCTTTGGAATCAAAATCTCTCAGAAAGAGACCCGGAATCAAATATTTCTAGAAGTCTCTTTAATAAGTCCTAATAGCTAGGTTTATAAATTAGCTTATCTGACTAGAGGAATTAGAGCTTTACTTTGCTTTCTAAGGACCACTTAAATCTTGTACTTTTCTCCATCTAAAAACACCTAGCACGTTTTTCACACATTCTTTTCATGTTATTTTTTTTTTTTACTCTAGCATGTAGAAATTGATATTAATAAAGATCAATCAATCTATATTCATTTTCTTCATAAGTACCTTTTTTCTTACTGTGGTTATGGTTGGAGGATCAAGACGAAGTTAATTGTGTTATTTCCTCTTTAGTTATATGAATGAAACTGTTGAGATACGTGTATAAATACAGACTGTATCTTAAAAATGCCGAAAGTTAACAATTTGTTTTTCAGGGCATATGCTGATAAACTTAAGTCGTGGCAAGCAAGATTTTTTAAAGGAAGTTGTGGAATCTTTTGCCAATAAGAGTGGCCAGTCTGCTTTGTATGATGCTTTGTTTTCTAGTCAGTCACCTAAGGATAGATCTTTACTTGGTAGTGATGACATTGGAAATATTGATGTGCAAGCACCAGAGCCTGACGATTTGAGTAGATATGATATTGGTAAGTTGTATCTTTCAGAAGAAAAACTTTACATCTTAAATTTTTATATTGGAAGAACAACAAAAACAAAATCGGAAATGTTCTTTAACTCATTATCTATAAATAATGATATATTTTTGTCACAATTTTTGAGGGGCAGAATGAAGGACAGTTGCATATATTTTTCCTTTAATAATTCCTGCTGTACATAGAATTGGTTTTTTTCCACAGTTTATATTAGACACTATGCATTCTATGTACCTCAATGAGTAGGCTTTTAATGGTACTATTACCTGTTTTAGTAATTATTAAATTGATTAGCTTTTTTTAGGTAGTTTTCTATTTTCAGACATCCATGTTGATTTTATAATGTTTGGTTATTAAAATAGTACTGTGTTGAAAATATTTATAAATTGTCTACATTTCACACTATTCCTATAGAAGTTTTAAAAATACTGTTAGTGAGAAAGGAGAACATTTTTAAAGATTAATTGCCATATTATTGTATAAGTTGTATGTACCTCTCTGGATGAGATACCTAAATATTTCAACTTGGAGAAGAATATGTATATGATTAATGTAGTATTCAGTTATTGATTGAGATTGCCAACAATTTCATCTTGCTTGGATCCACAATCAACACTCTTGGTACCCAAAGTCAGGGAATCAGGAAACATATGGCACTCGGAAAGTCTGCAGTCGAGCACCTCTATAAAGTACTGTCTGAGATTCAGACCATGGTCTTTCTGATCACTTGCTGTACATCTGAGAGTTGGATAGTGAATAAGGATGATAGGAGAAGATTGATTCCTTTTAACTGTGGTGTTGGAGAAGAGTACTGAATATCCCCTGGACTGCCTAAAGACAAAACAAATATATCATGGAGAAAGTGCATCCAGAGTGCTCCTTGGAGGCAAAGATGATAAAGATTCATTTCACATACTTTGGAAATGTTGATAAGAGAGACTATTCCTTGGAAAGGGATATGACCATATGATCATTGGATAGGTGGAGGGTTGATGAAAGAGAGAAAGACTTAGCCTGATGGATTGACACAGCGACTACTGCACTGGGCTCAAGTTTGTCAGGGAAGTGTGATGATAGTACAGGATAGGACAGAGTTCGGATCTTTTGTTCATAGGGTCACTATGGGTCATATTTGATGGCACCTAACAACAATTCAAACAGTATTGTATTTATTATTTTAATGACTATAAAATCCCCAAACCAAATCCCTTCTTTTGATTCTAATTCCATGACTTTCCATCAGGTTCCTGAGGCTTATAAATCTTTTTGGGGAGAATACTTCTTGTCCATCTTTTTCCTGTACAACAGCTTGTGGATTTGAACTGTTTATCTCTTCTTTCTTTTTCTTTTTTTTGTATGTGTACAGTCAAATTGGATCTGACTAGTATAGGAGGAGATTGCCCCTCCTTCTGCAGCAGAACATCTGGTGGATATGAGCCTCATACCTCTGGGATTGCAGTGCAGCCCTTGTTTATCTCTTTACTAATGCAATACCTATTGTACCATACCACCGAAGTTCCTTAATGAATCAGTTGTTGTTAGGTACCATTGAGTCGTAGATGACTCATAGTGACCCTATGAACGAAAGGCCTGAGCACTGTTCGTACATAGAGTTTCCGGAGGCAAGCCATTTCAGAAGTGGATGCTGCCCCTGCTTCCAGGCTTGTTTTAGTCAGGAAGCTCCAGCCAACACTGCCCACCATGGGTGACCATTACCACGTTTGGCACATCAGTGTCACAGTGTTCAGCATCACAGCAACCACAAGTTAACCAGTTTTATTTGCAGTTTGAACTCTCCAGCCACTCACTGGAAGAAAGATGTGGCAATTATGTAGAATAGATTTGATACATTGATGTAGCAGTGTAAAAGGTAAGAATAGATGCTGTATATTGAACACTAATGAGTTGTGGGATGACATCAAAGATACCATCCTTGAAGAAAGAAAGGTCCATTATGAAGACCAGAAAAAAGACCATAATAGATATTAGAAGAGACTTTAAAAATTACAGTAGGGGGGGAAAATTATAGTAGAAAGTTCAGAGGTGAAAACATAGGGAATAAAGGCTGAATTAAGAGATGACCAGAAGATTTTAAAGGGCAGCTCAAGAAGATAAAGCATAAGAATAAAATGTGCAAAAGACTGCATTTAAGAAAGGCAAAAGAGGAGAACCTGCTCAACATTTCTCACGCACAAAGAACAAATTCAAGCCTCAAGTTGCGAAGGATTATTTAGGCAAAAATTTTTAATGATGCAGGAGGCATAAAAAAAAATAGAGGGAATACACAGAATTGACTGACACTGAACCATGTCAGAAGTAACAATGGTAATGAAAGAAGCTCACACTTCACTGAAGGCATTGGCAAAAAATAAAAGTGACAGGAATTATTGGATATCATTTGACATCTTTCAGAAAACAGGTGCACCCCTGGACCTCCTCCCTAGTCTGTGCCGAGAAATTTGGAAAACAGCTACCTGGCAAACCGGCAGGAAGAGATCCATATTTGTGTCCATTCCAAAAACAAGTGATGGAGTAGAAGGGAGAAATTATTGAATCATCATTAATAGCCCAAGCATATAAAATCTTACTGAAGATTATTAGGAAATGGCTGAACACTACATCAACAGAGAAGAGCTAGAAATTCAAGCAGAATTTAGAAAAGGCCATGGCACAGGGGATATAACTGTTCATGTCAGATGAATCTTGACTGAAAGAATACCAGAAAGATGTTTGTGTTTTACTGGCTATGTAAAGGCATTGGACTGTGGATCATAAATTATGGATAACTTTGAGAAGAATGGAAATCTCAGAACACTAAATTTTGCCTAAGTGAAATCTGTATGTAGACCAAGAAGCAGTTGTTCAAACAGAACAAGGAACACCACATGGAAAGGTGTGCGGAATCTTTATATTCTTTCTCCATACCTATTCAATCTGTATACTGAACAAACAATTCAAGAAGCTGAACTCTATGAAGAATAATATGACATTAGAATTGGAGGAAGACTCATCAACTTGTGTTATGAAGATGACACAACTTTGTTTTTGAAAGTGAATAGGACTTGAAGCACTTGCTGCAGAAAGATTAAAAACAAAAGCTTTCAATATGTATTACATCTGAACCATCAAGAAAATCCTCACCAGTAGGCCCATAGGCAACATAAATGGAGAAAAGATTGAAGTTGTCAGCAGTTTAATTTTACTTAGACCCACAACACCCATGGTAACAGTAGTCAAGAAATCAAAAGATGTTGCATTGGGGAAATCTATCAAGGATCACTCCAAAGTGCTAAAGAGCAAGGATTTGGTTTAAAGACTAAGGTGTGCTTGATGCAAGCAGTAGTCTTTTCGGTTACTTCCTTTGTGTCTGAAAGTTGGACAGTGAATAAAGATGACAAGAAAAATCTATACCTTTGATATGTGGTATGGGAGGAGAGTATGACCCATGGACTTCCAAAAGAACAAATAATACTGTCTTAGAGAAAGTGTAACTAGGGTGCTCCTCAGAGGCAAGGATGGTAAAAAAAAAATATTTCACATTCTTTGGGGAGGCTCTCAGGAGAAGCCTTGGAAAAAGACGTGGGAAAAGTGGAGAGTAAGAGAAAGGAAGACCTTTATCAAGTTGGGTAGACACAGTGACCGTAACAGTGGGTTCAAGCATATGAGAAGTGATGAGGATAGTATCAAATAGGGAAACGTTCAGTTTACAGCATTACGAGGAATGGAATATAACAATTATGTAACGATTATAGTCTTGGAAACCTAAAGGGTAAGTTCTTATCTATCCTTCAGAGTTACTGAAAGCCAGAATAGACTTACTGGCTTTGAGGATGGTTGTTTGCATTTAGTAGGCCTCTTGTTTCTTTGAAGGGATTTATAAAGAACTTTCTCTGTTATAGCTGCTTTGATTGAAATTTCTGAAGATGAAATGTGATTGTATTTAAAAAACTATGAGAATTTGTCTTGACGTCTGAGGTTTGATACAGAAAAGCTATTATAATTAATTGCTTAGTTGTTAAAATGACACAATTTTTTTTTCTTTTCTCTAAAAACTCAAGCCTGTTCTCCTAATTTCAGGTGCCATTCGAGCTCATAATGGTAGTCTTCAGCACCTTACCTGGCTTGGTTTGCAATGGAATTCATTGCCTACCTTACCTGCAGTTCGAAAGTGGTTAAAACAGCTCTTTCATCATTTGCCCCAGGAAACCTCAAGACTTGAAACAAATGCACCTGAATCAATATGTATTTTAGATCTTGAAGTAAGCATATATTTTAAAGAAATAAATATTTAAAGTTTTGTTTAATTTTTTTCTAATTTAAGTTTCTTTTTTCTTTAAATAAAATAGGTATTTCTACTTGGAGTTATATATACAAGCCACTTACAACTAAAAGAGAAATGTAATTCTCACTACACTTTCTATCAGCCATTATGCTTACCACTTCCTGTATGTAAACAGCTTTGTACAGAAAGACAAAAATCTTGGTGGGATGCGGTTTGTAATCTAATCCACAGGAAAGCAGTGTAAGTAGTAAAACAAAAACAGTCCTTTCGTTTTAGACTTTAATCTCTTATAGAGATTTCATTTAATTCTTATGTGATGATTAATATGCATTTATAATGTGAGTTTATGAAATAAAACTCTCTTTTAGACCTGGAACCTCTGCCAAATTGCGACTTCTAGTTCAGCATGAAATAAACACTCTAAGGGGTCAAGAGAAACATGGTGTTCAGCCGGCTCTACTTGTGTATTGGGCACAATATCTTCAGAAAACGGTCAGTTCATTAAATTATAAATGTTTCTTAAGAGCATTACATTAATTTTTAAAGGACTTTTACTAGAAAGTCTTTTAGTCTTTGTAAAAGCAGTGGTTGTTAAAATTATGCAAGATGAAAAAGAATTTTTTCATCTTGTACAAGTATATATACCCTTTAAATAGTGCCTAATGCTTATTAACTATTGTGTAAGTATTAGCAAATATTGCTTAATAATTATTACAATAACTATTATGGTGAAATTTCTAAATATTTGAAGTTGGAACCAAAGGGAACTTGAAGCATGGGCGGAACTGTGCCCTTTTTAAATTTATTTGGCTTCAGAGGTGCACTTTTTCTTTGTTGATTGGGAAGGTTTCTGGGTTCTGGTTGGCTGGCCGGAGGCCTTTTGCTGGAATTCGAGGGGAACTTGAAGCATGGGTGGACCTGTGGCCATTTTGAAATTCATTTGGTGGTGGTTATTTTTGAAATGAATCACTCTTAAGCATTACAGCACTGTTCTGTCATTTCTCTGTATTGAGGTAACTGTGGTTTGCTGTGATACTGAATGTTGAGCCATTGGTCTGTCTAGTGCCATAATGGTTACACATGGTTGAGAGTATCTGGTTAACTAACAGATTAAGACAGGCTTGGAAGCAGGAGTGGCATCCACTTCCTAAACATGCCTGTGGAAACTCTATAAACTTAGAGACAGGATAATATTTATAGAACAAAGTTAAAGTGTTTTGTTTATGGGGTTAGTAATAGATGGCACTTAATAATAACAATACATGTTGCAAAGCCCTTGTCTTCCATTTTGGACTCAACACTGTATAATGGCACTCTTGTTTTGGTTGAGAGTCTGTGTAGATTGTCTTCTTTATTTTAGTCTCTTGTTTAGTCAGTAAGACCTCTAGGAGGACACTTGAATTTAAGGCCAAGCCCTTTGTCTCCATTTTGGAAACTGGGTGGAGCTATTGGACTCTGTAAGATGGGCTCTCTTGTTTTAGTTGAGGGTCATTGTGCAATGTTTGAGATTTTTTTGTTGTTTTTTTTTTTTGTTTGTGAGATTTTTGTTGTTTATTATTATTAAAGACTCTTGTTGAGAGTCAGCAAAACCTAGAGGGCCTTTTTTAAAAACAAACAAACAAAAAAAAACATCGGGTCTGAGGGATATCTTTTAATTCTTTGATATTGTAGTTTGGAGGAACATTTTCTAAATTGTACAGCATTCCTCTGTCAATTGCTGAGATAATCTGGGTTGGCTGTGATGCTCAGCCTTTTACCATTGGGGTCTCAAAAGCTATAATGGCTGCCTATCGTGGACAGTGTTTGGTGGAGCTCCCAGTTTTAAGAGCGGTTGGGAAGCAGGAGTGGCATCCACTTCCTAAACCACATGCATCTGGAAACTATGAACTTGGAGAAAGGATGATTATAGAAAGGCCTCAGGTCTTTTGTTCATGGAGTCGCTGTGAGTTGGGCACGACTCGATGATAATTAACAACAACAGCATGAAACCTATACCTAAATCAAGAAGCTATTATACAAATAGAGCAAGGTAACATAAAATAGATTAAAATCAAAGATGTGCATTAACACTTTATCCTTTCCTCAAGTGTATTCTGTCTATATGCTTTGTTGTTGTTATGTGCTGTTGAATCACTTGTGACTCATAGTGACCCTATGTACAAGATCCTTAAACGCCGTTCTATCCTGTGCCAACCTCGCTGTCTCAAACACACTCTGCCCACCACTCCAATCACAGAATCCATCTGTGTCATCGAGGGTCTTCCTCTTCTGCGCCGTCCTTCCAGTCTCCCAAACATAATGTCCCTCTCCAAGGACCGCCCCGCCTTGCAACATCCCCAGAGTATGTCAGATGAAGCTTCAGAATCCTTGACTCCAAGGAGCATTCCAGCTTCACCCTCTCTAGGACAAACCTGTTTGTTCTCCTAGCAGTCCATGGTGTAGTCAACACTCTTCTCCAGCACCACAGCTCAGAGGCATCAATTCTCTATCATCCCTATTCAGTGTCCAACTCTCCGATGCGTAGCATGTAATTGCAAAGACTATAGCTTGGATCAGGCGCACCTTAGTCTCCAGCCTGACGTTACTTTTCAGTACTCTTGAGAGGTCCCTCACAGCTGACTATCTCAATGCAGTTAGTTTCCTTATTTCCTGGCTGCTGTTATCAAGATTGTTGACTGTGGAACCAAGTAAACGAAAACTGTTAACTATCTCGATCTCTTCACCATCCATACTGATGCTGCCAGTTGGCCCAATGGTGAGAATCTTTGCCACATGCAAGTAAGATTCTGCTGAAAACTATCCAAAAACATTTGGAACAATATGTCAACAAAGAACTGCCAGATTTACAGGTTGTATTTAGATGAGGTCGTGGTACTAGGGATATTATAGCTAATATTAGATGGATTTTGGCAGAAAGCAGAGAATACCAGAAGAATGTCTATCTGTGCTTCATTGACTATGCAAAGGCTTTTGACTCTGTGAATCACAACAAGCTATGGCTGACTCTGAGAAGAATGGGAATCTCAGAACATTTGATTGTGCTAATGTGAAACCTATACTTGGACCAAGAGGCAGTTGTCAGAACAGAGCAAGGAGACACTACATGGTTCAGAATCAAGAAGGGGGTCCGTCAGGAGTGTATTTTGTCTCCATACCTTTTCAATCTGTATGCAGAACAGATCATCCGAGATGCTGGGCTGTATGAGGAGGAATGTGGCATCAGGATTGGTGGAAGAAACATCAACAACTTGTGTTATGCAGATGACACAATCCTCCTTGCTGCAACTGAGGAGGACCTGAAGTGCTTGCTGCAGAAGATCAAGGACTGCAGCCTTCAATATGGATTGAAGCTCAACATCAAGAAAACAAAGATTCAGTCTATATGCTGAACAAATTATTCAAGAGTTAGACTATCTGAAGAAACTTGTGGCATCAGAATAGTAGGGGATCGGGGAACAGCGGAATGCTCCCCGAAGGGCATTTTTTTAGTAGTCAAAGCCATTGAGAATGCTGTATCAGGGAGGAATTTGGAGTGATGCAGCTCATGGGGTTTGAACTTTGCCTTGGTTCTTAAATTCGGTTGGTCCTGAGGGTGTTTTCAATTGTTTTTTTGTCGAACATTGTTCTTAGTGTAATAGCACTGATCTATCTATTTGCTGTGCAGAGATAACTCGTGGTTGCTATGATGCCAAACACTGGGACACTGATGTATCAAATGCTATAATGGTGGACAGTGTTTGGTGGAGATCCCCAATTAAAACAAGCTTGGAAGCAGGAGTGGCATCCACTCCTCCGGAAACACTATGAACTTAAATAAATGATGAAAGTTACATAAGTGTTTAGGTCTTTCGTTCATAGGGTTGCTATGAGTCATCTTAGACTCAGTGGCACTTAACAACAACATGGAAAAATTAAATGTAGACTACTAGCACTTTGGAGTTTATTTTATTTTTTTAATTGTTTTTTGTGTGTGCACCATCAAATCGGATCTGACTGGTACAGGAGGAGATTGTCCCCGTTCTCCAGCAGAGCATGTGGTGGATTTGAACCATGTTCCTCTGGGATTGCAGTGCAGCTTCTTGCCACTAGGCCACCAGAGCTCCCTGACTACTAGCACTTTGATCAAACCTTGTTTATGTAAAAATATGCAGCTCTTGAATGTATTAAGAAGTAATACTGATGGTGCAACCACTGTGGAAGGTGGTATGGCGCTTTCTCAAAAAGTTGCAAATAGAGATACCATTTGACCCAGCAATTCCACTACTGGCAATATATCCCAATATATCCCAAAGAGACCATAACTGACATCCAAGCAGATATATGCACACTCATGTTTATCGCAGCTCTGTTCACAATAGCAAAGAGTTGGAAACAACCCAGGTGCCCATCAACAAACGAATGGATAGAGAAGCTGTGGTATATTCACACAATGGAATACTATGCTGCATTGAAAAATAAGGAACTCATGCAATATTATTCAAAATGGGTGACCCTGGAGAACATTATGCTGAGTGAAATATCTCAGTCGCAAAAGGACAAATATTGCATGGTGCCACTGTTGTAAAATGGGACTGATATCAGGGTTGGGGTAAGACTGAGAAAAACTGGATAAATTGTGTATACTGCACTGAAACAGATGAGGGAGTAAATAATTTAAAAGCGATATATGATAGGGTATTATGGTTATCACAAGAGTCCACAATTAAGGTTGCATAGTGGAATGTACTTGGGGCGGCGGGAGGGGCGTGGGGGATTGTGTCCCAGGGAGGGAGTGCTTCTTTTACTTTTGAAAGAGGCGCGAACTTGGGGGGTGGGGGAGGAGGGCTGGGCGGGGAGAGAAGTGCAGCAATGAATGAATGGAAATCCAAAATCTCTGTAAATGCTCATTAAAATTATTAAAAAAAAAAAAAGTAATACTGGAAGTGCTTAAAAGTCAAGCCTACTGGTGTTAAGGTTATCATTTATTTGGTAAGATGTACCAATGAGTTGAAATTCTGTTTGATTTAAAAAAATGTTATTTTTAAAAATTATTAATTTTTTAGTTATTGAATATTTTCTCCCCCCACTCCACCTCACAGTGTACCCCTTGTTCTACATTGCTGTCATTCATTTAATTGCTTAATCAATCATATATTCCTTTAGACAGTTTTTCCCCTCACCTGTTCTAATGCAGTGTTCATGATCTATCCATTTTTCCCCGTTCTCTCCCCAGCCTTCCCATGTCTGTCCTATTTTATATCAGCAGTGTTAATACAGTGTTTATCCTTTGTGACTGAGATCTTTCATTCAGCATAATGTCCTCCAGGCTCCCCGATGCTGTGTAAAATTTTTTTAGTTCATTGTTTTTAAGTGCTTTGTAATATTCCATTGTGTAAATGTTCAAACCATAGTTTTTTCTGTCCATTCATTTGTTGATGGGCACTTGGGTTTCTTCCATCTCTTTGGTATTGTGAATAATGCAGTAATACAATACACTTGGGTGTCCATACATCTGTTTGAGTTGTCGCTCTGATTTCTTTCTGGCTAATACTCCCAGTAGTGGAATTGCTGCGTCATGTTGTCAACTGAGGGTAAAGAATAAAAAACAAGACAGAATACCAAAAATGTATAAGTAAACAGAGGTAAAGCAGGGAGTGAGCAGTTTGAACAACTGAAGTGCAGAACGCAGCTTCCCTGTGCCTTTATTAAAAATTGCCAGAGATCAAATCACAAAGAGAATTCTATGCAAATGGAGCTAAGCTCTTTCTATTGAAAACCTTATGCTTGGCTCAGGATGGGGAGGGGTTGGCAAATATTTAATAGAAGAATTGTGTAAACCCTTAGCACTTACTCCTGTGACACCTCAGGTCTGCCTTGGTTCTTTGGGGTGAATTCCAGCTTGTATTTGCGCCTCCCTAATATCCTGATACAGCATTTGGTTTATTACAAATATTTAGTATGAAATTTGGCTTCCCACAGGGTCAAATGCTATTTCTAGTTCCAACTTTTTTTTTTTTAAATAAAGAATTTTTTATTTTATTGTTTTTGTGTGAGTGTACTGTCAAATCAAACCTGATTGATACAGGAGATTGTCCCTCCTTCCCCGGCAGAGCATCTGGTGGATTCGAACCGTGCGCCTCTGGGATTGTAGTTGCAGGTCCTTGCCACTAGGCCACCAGAGCTCCCCTGAGTTCCAATTTTTTTGAGAAAGCTTCAGACCACCTTTCTTAGAGACTATATGCACCATTTTACAAACCCAGCGTCCGTGAATAAGGGTTCCAATTTCTAGAACCTTGCCAACATTTGTTATTTGCTGCCCTATTGAACTTTGCTGTTGTTACTGAAGTGAGACGATATCTCATTGTTTTGAAAAAAAATTTTAGACTTAATTCTTACTCCAGCACTTTTAGGTTTACAGAAAAAAAAATGCAGACACTTCTCATATACTTCCTTTCCCTACTGTACAGGTTTCTCCTGTTATTAACATATTCTGTCAGTGTGATATATTTATTACTGATGAACCAGTATTGATATATTATGTAGAATGTCTAGATTATGTTTTACGTGCACTATTGTAGAGCCCTGTGAGTTTGACATATGTCTAGCAGTGTGTCACCTTTTGCAGTATCATACAGAGTAGTTGCCCTAAAAACTTCCTGTTCATTATACTTCTCCATTCCTAAACCCTAGTGGGCTCTGCTGGCCTAGGGATAAGGAGCTGTGCTGCCAACCTGAAGGCAAATTGCTCCACAGGCAAAAGATGGACAGTCTCTTTCCAAGCAATTTGACTTTTAAAACCCCTAGAGATTGAAATATTAATTGATTCTGACTCGACAGCATGGAACACAGAATTATCAGATAGGTGGTTTGTAAAGATTTTCTGCCAGTCTGTGGCTTTTTATTCTCAACAGTATTCTTCACAGAGCAGAAGTTTTTAATTTTAATCTAGTTCAGTTTAACTACATTTTCCTTTTATAACTTCTGTTTTTGGTGTCATGTATGAACAGTCATTGTCTCTTACCATCTGTTACCTAAAGTGGCAGACATCAGGCACACAGAATTTTTTTTTTTTTTAATTCGTTGTCAAACCCAATGTGACCTGGATTTTTCTTATTTTATCGTCAAGAAGTTGTATTGTTTTGGATCTTATGCTTAGTTCTGTGATCCATTTTGAGTTTATTCTTGTAAAAGATGTAACTCCATGCCCGCATTAGCTTTCTCCATGTAATGATTATTCCATCAGCATTTGCTGAAGAGGCTATCCTTTCTCCCTCCACTGAATTGTTTTTACTCTTTGTCAAAGGTAATTGATTATAGTGTCAGATCTATTTCTGGGTTCTTTTATCTTTACCTATTTTTCCCATTTTTTTTGCCTGTACCACACTGTTTTGATCACTGTAATGTATATTAAGTTTTGAAGTTAGATAGTATTTTAATACTGTATTGAAATAATTTTCTTGAGATATATAAAATAATTTGATTGGAATGTTGAATCTATAGAATAAGTTTGAGGAATTGGCATCTTAATTCGCTTCCTATCCATACGCATGGTATATCCATTTATCTCTTTCTTTATAAGAATTTTGTGTTTTGTGTGTTTCATTTTTGAGGGTGACATTATGAATTCTTCTGTGTTCTTAATTTCAAATACCGGTTGTTCATTGCTGTTTTAAAGGAAAACAGTGACTTTTGCATATCTGCCAAAGTGTATTGCACACTTTTTCTGTGATTCCTTAGTAGTTTAAAGAATTTGGGATAAGGGAGGTTCTTGATTCTTGGGAGGGATTTTCTGTACTCAGTTTTATCTGCAAATAGGGCCAGTTTTATTCTTCCTTCTCAAGTTCTATACTTTTATTTTTCTTAATCAGTTGTACGAGCTAGGTTTCCCAGTGAAATGTTTAATAGAATTGCTAAGAGAGGATGTTCTTTAATTACTACATTGACCTGCTGTTTTAACGTTTGTAAATGTGTTTTATATCTGATGGTCTATATTCCTTAGACTTTGTATTTTTGATACTGTATTTTAGGGCAGTGACCTTAATTCTTTTTATGATCAACGAGAATACATAGGCAGAAGTGTTTATTACTGGAAGAAAGTGTTGCCGCTGTTGAAGACAATAAAAAAGAAGACCAGTATTCCTGAACCCATTGATCCTTTGTTCAAACATTTTCATAGTGTGGACATACAGGTAGTGGGGGCTTTTTTATTTCTTTTTTTATTTTATATTGGGTTGCATACAAAATTCGTATATGCTGTGTGTCATTTATGTGCATTGCCTTTCACGTATTTCTGCATTTATGTTGTGTTTCAAATGATCACTCATGTACATTGTATTTTATAAAATTAATCACCAGTTACTTTATGTCTATGATTACCCTGTCTTTTCAGGTCTCCATTGGATCCTGTAATTTCTTCACCACCCCCTTCTCCATTCATCAAACTCTCTTATCCTAGAGATTTCTTCCCCTCTTTACCTGCTTTCCCTTTGGACTTTCATCCACATTTTGTTAGTTATCCTTCTATTTTTACAATAATAGCTTTATGCTATATTTTTGTGAACTAAATGGAGATAACGACTGCTTTAATTAATTGCCTGGCTGTTTATTGGTAGTCTTGCTTTCAAAATTCATCAGCTGTCACAAATATAACAGGGTTTTGCTCTGTCAACTCTCATTACTATCAGGTTGAAACTAAATCATAGCTTTCCTTACACTGAATTACTGAAGCTGTAACTCACATGGGAGCATCTTGCCCATCTTTTTTTCCTGTGGAGCCATTAGTGAATTTGAACTGTCAAAGAGGCTCTGTCTTTGAGTTAGGAGCACAATTCCCTGTGGGCAATACCTCCAGAACTCCCTTTAATCATATTAGAACCTATAACATCTTTAGAAAATCATTCGTATTTGATATTCTGAGTGGAGACAATTCAGATAATAATGACTTAACTTTACTTAGGTGTCTGAAGTTGGTGAATATGAAGAAGAAGCACACATAACATTTGCTATATTGGATGCAGTTAATGGGAATGTAGAAGATGCTATGACTGCTTTTGAATCTATCAAAAATGTTGTTTCTTATTGGAATCTTGCACTGGTAAGTAGATGTACTACGTG